ATGTCCAAATCTTAGATTAATGTGGCATTCAAATCTGAACACCTATTTTTAGTCGAAACTCATGTCCAAATCTTACCCCAAGTTTCGTATATAAACATGGGTCAAAATGTACCACCCCCATATCTCGGCCAAATCTCATCCGATTTTCACGAAGTTTGGCTTTTTATACCCTGAACCCAATAAAAATGGGTATAAGGGTATATTGTATTTGTGCGAAAGCCAAATGTATGTAACAGGCAGAAGGAAGCAACTCCGACCCCATAAAGTATATATATTCTTGATCAGTATAAATAGCTGAGTCGATAAAGCCATGTCCGTCTGTCCGTCCGTCCGTCCATCCGTCCGTCCGTCCGTATGTATGAACGCAAGGATCTCAGAACCTATAAGAGCTAGAGAAATTTTAGATGAAGATGCTCCTGGCTCCCGCGCAGATCGAGTTTGTTTCCGATAATCGATAACGTACTCCGTTTCCAAGCAATCGATAAAAATCGATATCGATATCCTGTTTTTTGGGCAATTTTGGTAAATAATAAGATCTAGGGTCACCAAATTTGACATATAGCTTCTAAAATAGAATATATATATGCATTTGATGTTGGAAGAAGAGGGTTTAGGGTATGCCCTAGTCGGGAGCTGCCGACTAGAACCTCTTACTTGTTTTTATAATTTGGATGTCTTTAAAAATTACACAGGCCTTTCGCATTTCAAGGCAAACCCCCTCTCCAGGGGTATAAAATGGTTGTGTGTTAAAATAATTCAAAATTCTACGAAAAATGGATGGGTTGATTATTTATTATAACGTTAGTTTTTAAGTTATATTAGGGTTAGCAGTTATTTACCTATTTTTTTAAGCACTGACAAACATTTCCAACGGCTAAGACAAAGCTTAGCTAGATTTTCAAACCGGTTGCTCGAGCTCGGATCCTTTTCAAGGAACTGACTTGGATGGCTATTTTTGCTTCCCAGAGATACATATGCCACAATCTAGGCATACTATGTATATCTGAGGTTTGTGATATGGTATGCACTTTAAGGAATTAAATATACCGACTCTTGGCAGCTTGGCAGATGACTTGCGACAGCGGGAGTTATGTGGGTTCACTTTATTGTATAATTCTAAGCACACACCCGCATAAGCTCACACACACAAACACAAACACACACATATTTGCTGTGGCGTAGTCAGAGCCCAACTGCACAATTCATCAATAAAGTCGCCTCGGAATACAATGCTAATCTCAGGCTTTGAGTTAACGTTCGTGTCCCTGTCCAGTTGCACAGATCCATTCGAGATGTCTCAATTGTTCACATGTTGTGCTCCTACCCACGCCCACCTTTAGTGAAACCGCAAGGCACAAACGAGAGCTGGGTGGAAGTGAAAGAAGAAGCAGCCGTAGCTGACTCCTAGTTTATGTAAAGCAGAAAAAATCTCAGCTGCAAATGACTTGTATGCCATTGAGATAAACCCAAATTTATTTATTTTTGCCATAAACTCGCAAAAGGACTTTTGGCTTGCCATTGTTGGCTAGTCGCATGTGTGTACGTGCCTAGGTGTGTGTATGTGTGTGTGTGTGCTGTTGGCATTTTGTATTTGTATTTGTATTTGAGCTTTCAACAGCGACAACAACAACAACAACAGCAACAATGGACGTTGCCAACTAACTACAATTCCGTAGGCAATTAATTTAGCTGAAAAAGCCAAAAATACAAAACACACTCACACATGCTCACACGCACTCATACACACACGTGGCAAAAATATAAAATGGCGCAGGAGCGGCGCAGTTGCTGGCGTCGTCGTCAGAAAAAACCAGCAGCAGCAGCGAAAAATAAAAGAAAACTTGAATGGAAATTCAATTGAGTGACATGAAAATGGAATTTTTCATATTTTGCTGCTGCTGCTGATGTTGAGGCTGTTGTTGCTGCTGCACAGCAACTGCTGCTGCTGCTGCTTCTGCTGTGGCAGAGGCAAAGAGAAGCGAAACGTTTTGGCTGCCAGGCACATCACAAACACAATTTGCTGTTGTTGCTGCTGCTGCTGCTGTTAGCCGCAATAATAGTAAAAACAACAACAATAAGCTAGCAAGCAGCTGCAACAACAACAACAGCAGCAGCAACAATTCGCTCTGACTCTTTTTCTCATCCACTCGCTCGCTGTGTGCTTTCCCCCCAAAAAAAAACGTTTGCGTCTGACATTTTCATAATTAGGTATTCAAAATCTTTAATAACGGTTACTCTTGCTGCCGCTGTTGCTGCCAGTTGCCATTGGTGCTGTCGCTGCTGCTGCTGCTGTTGCTGCTGTTGCTGCTGCTGCTAATGTTGTTGTTGTAGCTCAAGCTGTTGCTCAACCCACACTCAGGCATACACACACTCACTCACACACACATACACATCCTGTATAAACGCTTTTTGTTGTCCTTGCATTTAGTTTTGTTTCTTGTTGTTGCCACAAGTTTTTTGTGTCTGTGGGGCACAACTCGCAGCAGCATCGAAATGTTGCCAGATGCTTTTTGGCCAGCTTGCTTCTGGTTAACCGAACGTCTGTCTATCGCAACTGGCAGCTGATTGGGCAAGGCGCAGTCAGCCGAATCTGAATCGCATTTGCTTGATTTGCTAGTTGACAGCTTCGTAGCCGAAACACTATCAAAATGTTCTAAGCACGATTAGGCCATTCAGTTCTGGCTTATCTTTGCCAAAACGAAAATGTACTTTGTTTTGTTATTATTGGGATCGCGTAAATAAAAAATGTCTTCTCTATAACAATGCGGAGAAGGTATTCTTTCGCAGAGAACAGAGAGGAGAAAAGTGAAAGAGGGAAATAGAAGGAGCTATGGCTAAAACCGAGTACTAGTAGATTGTTTCTAGCCGATCTTGAATCTTAAATAGTCGATTATTTCTCACTAATAGGCAACAAATGATATCAAGAACTATTTTTAAGCGTAATCAGTAAGCTTGTAAGTCCCAGATTTTATTTACACTTTTTATCTTATCTAAGATTAAACTTTTCTGCGAATTTTATGGCTGAATTAAATAAAAATCAAGTGTATCTGAGAAAAGCGGCGCTCATTAGGTGTATAAATATGAATGCTGTCCGTTTGCTAGATCCAACCGAAAGTAGCTGAGAAAAATTCTGCCTGGTTTTGGCCTTGTCAAATACTCTGCTTTGTCCGCACTTCAGTTGCCGTCAGCGACAGCAGCAGCAGCAGCAGCCGAAGACGCGGCCACATTCATGACAGCCATCTCAACGTTTCCCTTTTAACATCAAGGAGCACAAAACAAACAGCGTGTCCAAGCCTGGACGGCGCCTGGCTCGAGCTGGTTAAAGGATACGACAACTTCAGCGCCTGTCACTGACGGTGACAATTTTTGCGCGTCTTCTTGGGCAGGCCAACCGCTGTGCTATGCTGCACAGGACCACAGGACATTGGCTACTTGTAATGCTGAGTCCTGTCATTGCAACTGTTATTTAAATGATATTGTTTTGACTCAACTCATTTTAGGCATTGTAAGAGAAGAGGGAGCTTGCGAGTTCCAATCCCAAGCTTAACTTAAGTCTCTGCTGCGATTATTTGATGAAATAATATATATTCTATATATATATTGTAAATCAAAATGTTAAAAGAGCTTAACTCTTCCACTGCTTCGACGTATTTCTTTGTTTTTTAATCAATTTGAAGATTTAATCACTTTTTAATTACTTATTAAATAATGTCATATAGCTCATTTTATTATTATTATTTGATCAGCGCAAGTCAGTTATTGTTAGCTGTGGATGATTATCGTTAAAGATACGCATTAAATATGCAGATAATAAAAGTTCTTATCTCACGACCTGTGCATATTAGTGTGCGAGCCTTCCGTTCACTAAATCTTTATGTACTCGAACCTGTGTACCTGCCATTAGTCATGGTGCCCAATCTTGGACTTTTCCACTTAACTGCCACTTGAATTCCGAGCAGTAAACGCAAGCGTTATTAATTCATAAGTGTGTTATTTAGGAGCGGTCTTCACAGATTAAAGCCGGGAAATACCTTTCAATCTTGAAACTTTTGAAATTTATTGGAAATCATTGTTGATGTATTTCACATATTCATATCGATAAAACTTTCTGATGACATAATACCAGACTTCCCGACTGCCTTGACTAGCAGCGATTTGCCCAAACTTAGCTCCATTTCGAAAAATCTAATTAGACAATATATCAGACATTAACCTACAATCGATAGCAGCCGTTTTGTTTGATTTATAAGCTGATTGTTCATATCGGAACCAAACAGTAAAATTTGCCGCTTTCACCACCCAGTTAAAATGTCATAAGAGAATAATTATATAGAATTATCTTTATGGTATTATTTATATTATAATACTGAGAAAAAACTTCCTCAACACTTGTTGCTTGTACCTGTATGCATATAAGTGTGTTTGTTTTATTTTCACATTTTTAAGATCTTTTTGATTAAAGAAAATAAAATGCGTGCTCGAGTACAAAATTTACTCAAGTCAAGAAAACAATACATTCTCCAAATATACAAAAAATTGAAATACAAAAAAAAGAAAATATAGCTCAAAGCAAAATAAATCATATTTATTTAAAATATATTTATTTATTAATGTAATAAATAATAAAATATATTATTCACGACAAAATAGAATATATATTTCCCTAAATATGATCATTAAATTTATAAAAATATTTATAAAGAAATAATAAAAATAATACTTTTTAATTATTTTCAAGATGTATATTAAACAGATCCGAAACGAAAATAAATTGATATATAACTATGCTAATAATATTTAAAAAGTATAAATATATAAAAGAGTTGGTTAATTTCTGTAAGTGTATATACGCATGTATATGGTATACGGAAGAGCAAAAATAATACCAACAAATTGGCAAAATGATAAGCGATTGTAAAGTAACTAAGTTTGGTATTTAAGTCGCTTGTTTTACTCACATTGATCAGTTGCTTAACGAATTCGGAGTAGTGCTCATGCTTGTTATGGATCGTCAACTTGTTATAGTGCTGCTGTTGCTGGGTTGCGCCATGCACAGCGTTTGGTCACAGACAACGGAGATCCCGGAGACCACGGACGAAACGGAGACAACAGATACAACGGAGACGACGGAGAGTCCAAACTTTTCGTGCTTCACCTATGAAGGAACTGCAGTCGATCTAGGAGGTGTAAGTTGAACCCACATTGCCGATTTCGTCAGCTGTGCTCTTTAATACCCTTCCCATGCACAGCTCTCGGGCTATTGGTATGAGGTGGCGCGTGCTCCGGATGTGGATGACATGCAGTGCTTGAATTACTCGGTGCCAGCCAGTCCCAACGAGAACAATATGCTGGAGCTGCAAGTGGAGTACGTGGACACCACCAATGGCCAGTGGGAGTCGGCCTCAGAGTCTGGCTCATTGGCCTGGGACGACAACGCCAAGAATGGCATCTTCACCTGGTCCATCGGGGAAGTGACCCGCCTGCCAGTCACCTACAAGCTGGTCAGCACGGATAAGACCACATACGCGTTTCTCTGCGGCTACATGGGCATCGCATCCGTGCCGATCTTCAAGGTGTGGACACGCCATCGACATCTGAGCGTCGATGACATGCTAATCATCCAGCAAAAGTTTGTCGATATTGGACAAGTCGAACAGCTCGCCTGGGTGGAGCAATCGCTGGAGAAGTGCAACAATTCCGCCATGCGCACGGCCGGAGGAGCACTTGTCGCCTTCGCATTGGCGTTAATTCTTGGAAATATTTGAGATGTTAGTGTAGAAGCATGTCTTAATTTTCCATAGTACAATTAACTTACATAATAGGATAAATCGCAAGATAGCAGTTTGGCTAATTTAAAAAATAAGAATGTTAAAATGAGGGGAAGGATGTTGATTTCAATATTTATTTAAATGGATGCTCGTCTTATTTATACCCTGAACCCATTAAAAATGGGTATAAGGGTATATTGTATTTGTGCGAAATCCAAATGTATGTAACAGGCAGAAGGAAGCATCAGGGTATCCTGTAGTCGGGAGCTCCCGACTAGAACCTCTTACTTGTTTTTAAATGAAGTATGCAATTACTTTATTCTTCATATAGTTTGTGTCCATGTATACACATATACATAAAAAAATATATGATTTATTGTATTCACAGATATTTTTAACAAAATTCTCGGTTGCTGGTTTTGATTATTTCTTGATGAACAATCTTCTTATTAAATTTCTTTAATTACGACTGGCGATATTTAATTTATGCTGATCTCAGATTGGTTTTGCATATCAGATCTTACTGTGCTACTTCTTTGTCATAGGAATCGAATCGACTAGTTCAATTAAATTAAAAAAACTTTAAAAAAATATAGACAACACTTTCGTTCAGATCACATGTCTACAATTGTGAGTAATATGTCGGAAAAAATACTTTAACGAATTATGATTAAACGAGAGTAAGCTTATGAATGAATGAAGTCTTCCAAGAGCCCCTGTTTTTCTTTCAATTTTGGTTTTAATTATAGATAAATATGAAGAAAGAGAAAGAGAATGTGTAAGGGAGAGTTAGACTTTATATCGGAAATTACTTTTTTTTAAATCTAAAAGACAATATATGGGTGAAAAAAATCTACATTGTTGATAATATATAAAATATACTTTATATACTAAATATTCGACCTTTTCCAACTATCCCTACTATATATGTATATACTACTCACTATATATGAACTATATACTATTCCTATTGATCCTCAAGGTAAACATGCACCATTCTAATGCCCATCGATCCAACTTTGCCTGTTATGTATTGTATGTCTGTATATGTGAGTTTTATATACATTTATAAATATTGTCAACAAATGTCAAATTCCATTTTTGTTTAATTCTATTCCACCTGACGCAATACACCATGACGATGACGCTGACCAACTATTTTTGGGATGCCACAGGTGGAAGCCGCCAACATGACTACCCCGTTGCTGGTCTGTCTGTGTGTGTCTATTTGTGTGTGTGTTTGTGTGTGTGTTTGTGTGTGTGAGCTTGTGGCCATAAACAAATTGACGCCCAAACTCTGTCGCTGCGCTCCGCTCATCATCCTTAGCGTCGTTTGCACGGCTGAGGGGGCAGAGGAAGTGTTATCTGCTCGCACTCAGTTGCCAGTTGCCAGTTACCAGTTGCCGCTTCCCACTGCGCCAGCTTATTATCAAAAGTCAGTCAATGCCGCGTCATACACACACACACACAGACACACTCCGGCCAAACAGCTTCATTTTGACCTGCTGCCCTAAAAGGGGGCGCACACGAGTGGGTGGCGATTTGTTGGCTGGTCTTATGGCTGGGGTGTCTGTTGGTGGCACGGGCTCGAGTTCGGTTTGCTGAATTGGCGCTGAGTAAACAATTTCTTTATCGTCACGATACACGCCGCAGTCAGATAAATGCGTGCTGCCTGTTTGGCAGTGTGGCAGGGGCAGGGGCAGGGGCAACGGCAGGGGCAAGGGCAGGGAAGTGGCAGCAACTGTCATACATTGTTATTTAAAGTAAAAAAAAATTAATAATTCAATTATGCATCAACATTTGCAACACTGGCCATGTGGTCTGTCTCGCTCACACGCTCTGACTGCTCGATTCTCGGCCTGGCCACAGCTGTCCGTATGTTTGTGTGGCAGCCAAATTGCCGTGATTTCATTCAATTTGTCGCAGCGGCAACGGCAGCGGCAGCAACAAATGTTGCCACTTGCTGCCCAAATTGTTTTCGTTTGGGAGATTGAAAGCAACCACCCACGCAGCTTGTGCAAAGTGCGCATAAAAAAAAAAAAAAAACAAAAAAAAAGAATAGAAAGGAAGAAAAGTATTCTGCTGTGTCCAACACCCACTGTGGCACACCTCCTGCCCATCTACCCATTGGGAACGTCAGCTGGCGCTCTGTGTGCCAATGCACAATTGTTGTTTGTATGAGAAAATCTCGCCTAATGGCGTTTTACATTATTTGCCGCCTGATGCCGGCGTCGCTGCCACAGCCAACTGCTGCCAAGTGCCAATGCCAGAGTTGGAGACGGAGACGGAGACGGAGTCCTAGTCAGAGCTGGCAGACATAGACGTGGACGCAGACGGAAACCGAGAGCCATATACCCATAGCCTTAGTTGTAACAGCAGTTGCCAGGCTGTTGCCTAGATTTCTGCCTCTTTCACTCGTTGCGCCAAAGTTTGTGGTTAGGGTGCTTCGGTTTTCGCTTGTGGCAAGTTCTCTGCAACTGTGCCCGATTGGGTGGTGGGTGGTGGCTGTTGGGTGGCGGGTGGCTGGGGTTATAGACAGCATTCTGGCCAAGCAGCCGTAAGATGAATGGCCACTTATTGCCCAAGCTGGTTGTGCACAAGTCCTGATGGTCAATTCTGATAGCCATTGTTGTGATATTGAAATGTTACGGCTACTGCAAGCAAATTTAGATTGATCGATAGATAACTAGATACTTCCAGCAGCTGGGACTTAACTTGGTATAGCGCAACAGGTATTAACCAAAAGTGATTAGCAACTAAACTCAATTGGTTTCGAGTAGAGAGTAGAGTATTACGAGTAAATTAATCCTAATTTAAGCACACACTAGCATAAGTTTATTTATGTTGCCTTTAATTAAAATTAGATTCCTTCTAATTCCTCATTATTCCCTACTTTTTCTTAATTAATTATTTGTCGTGTTAATCTTGTTAGTAAAAATATCAAAGAATATTTTATGATAATATATTTGATATAAATCCGTTATCGTATTTATATTCTAAGACCTAGAAGACAAACGACCTCTTAGTAAACAGTTTTGTTGGATATCCTTATTCGAAAACTGTCCTCGGGGGCTTGAGTCCACACACATCTTTACAACTTAACACACACACTCACACACACTCACACAGCCCTCTGCTGTGGTCCATTCTTGATTGTAAGCGCATTCCCATGTCGCACATAATCCATCGCAGCTGGAGAAGAAGACGAATCCCAAATCCCCTATACCGAAAACAAAATGGCCTTTAATTTGCTCGCTCATTTCGAGGCTCAGCTTGTGCTCTGCGCTGTGGGCTTACCGCAGGCGAAGGGGTAGGGTGTTCAGTGGGTATGGAGGGGGTGGATTGCGTCTATGGTTTATGTGTTGTGTGTGTGTGTGTGTGTGTGTGTACGTGTGTGTGTGCGTGTGTGGATCTAAGCATTTGACATGGTGTGAACACGCGCATAAGGCCATTTCAATGGTTTTCAAATGCCCGACAAATGGCGGGGGGTGTTTTGGTGCTGCTCCCGGAGTGAGGATGTGGTGTGGGTGCGGGGGGAGGAGGTACGCTCCATCTGACTTTCATGTGTGGGCGTGCGTGTGTGTGTGCACAATTGGTTGGCAATTTATTTAAATATCGGCACGCAGTTGGAAACGCAATGCCAACTGGAATTTCATGCCAAGTGAAACACATTTCAGCGAAAATAAAACGAAACAACAGCAGCAACAACAACAACAACAACTGAGAAATTTCGACTGCCGAGCAAGCTGCCGAAAAGGAATTTTTCAGCTGCCGCCGGCAGTGGCAGCGCGACAGCAACAGCGACAGCGAAAGAAGTGAAGGAGGGAGGCTGCGACAGCGACCGACAGCGACAGCAGCTGATGTTAATAGCCCAGCGGGGCCAAATGCCGGCTGCTGCCATGCGAAGCGAAAGAGGAGAAGAAGTGCAGACTGCGACGATGTCTGGGCAGGCAGTTGTTGCTGTTACTGTTGTTGTTGTTGTTGTTGTCGTTCCCGCGCCTGGCCCTCTGATAAGCCAATGGCATAGGGTTGGGGTTGGCGTGAGCGCGTGTGTATGTGTGTGCGTGTGTGTGTGAGCAGCTGAACAGCTGTTTCTGACGCGAACATCAACTGCGCCGGCGCCTTGCAAACTGCAGGCGAACGCAGCCGAGTCAAGACACGAAGCTGCACAGCGAAGAAACGAACGACGAAAACGAAACATGTGCCTGACTACCTGAGCAAGTTGAAACTGAAACGACGCTCACAAACAAATTCAACTTTCAACTGAGCAGACGTCACGCAGCAGCAGCAACAGCAGCAGCAGCAACAGAAGCAGCAGCAGCAACAGCAGCCGCAGTCGCAGCGCACAGAGGCAGCGTTTCTCTCAGTTTCGTCTTGTGTGTGATATTTGGGATTCGGCATTCCATAGCCGCCATTCCCAGCGCGTGGCTTCAGTCGTTTGGCATTGGCCCGACATGCCGGTACAAGCGTCGCATCTCCGCATTCGTACTCGCCAACAATTGTTGTTGTTCGCGTCGCGTCAACAACATCAACAAATAAATGGAAAATAAATAATCTGGATATGTGCAAGTAAATTTATTGTAGCGGCTTGCGATTAGTTCATCATCGGTTGCTAGTCAATTAACGCCCATTGCAGGCGTCGCGCGCGCGTTTTTTAGTGGGTGTCAACACCAAATGTATCTCAGAGATACGAAAACAATGCAGCAATTCGCGTAAGTGCAGCACAACAACAATACAAACCAAAGCAGCAAAACGTACATTATAAAATACCAAAAGAAATAATAAGATCTTTTAAACGAACAGCCAAAATGGTAAGTCAATGAGCCACATGCGAAGTATCTGAAAGATGCGCATCTGTTTTATGTGTGTCTGTCTGTGTAAGCTGTCTGTGTCTGTGTGTGTGTCCCCTCCTACATACCCGAGCGCAACACATGTTGATTGTCCATGCCGCGATAACGCCAGCTGTCCCAGGCAATACACCCTCGAAATATATCTGGAATCTGGGCAGCTGCGCGGATTGCTCTTTAAAAATATCTCAAAAGCGACGCATCTGTTTTTTATTTGCGCAAATGTTTGGCCCAAACACAAAGCTACATAGTTGGTAATACAAATTTGCCTGTCCGTGTGTGTGTGTGTGTGTGTGTGTGTGTGTGTGACACATTTTTGCATTGCCATAAGAAGAAAAATCCCGCAGCAAATTCGTTTTGTCAGTTTCACGTGCGAAATTATAAATTACGAGTATTTTCCCAGCTTCATTTTTTTCCACCGTCACGTGCTTGCGTATGTGTGTGTGTGTGTGTGTGTGTGTGTGTGGGGAGGTGTGTGTGAGGATAGTTGTATAGTACGCTAGCGGAGCATGCGGATGTGGCTGCCAGCCAATGAGTTTGGACACCGTCTGTTTCTGATGGCCTTGGGCTGGCAATTGGGAAATCTCAACTGCAAATAATTGCAGCTGGCTGCCATTTCAACTGCCGCCTTCTGCTCTAAGCCAAATTTCAAAACTTCTGCTAGCCGAAATTTACCAACAGCAGCAAAATTAAATATAATTCATATGTCACATAATTGTTCCTCACAGAAGTGTGCGTGTTTTTGTGTCTGACTCGAAGGGCAACAGATTGTTGAAGCGTCCTTTTGTCTAATTTATATTCGCATTGTATTCGTATATTGCCAATAAATCAATAAGTTAGGTTTGGTCTTCAGACATCCCCTGTTAAGGAGTTCCCAACCCAATGATCTTAAAAACATTGCCAAATCTGCAGCGCATTGATTCCCGTATCTTCTTCTTATAAATCATGAAGAGAATCATATTTAATTTTCCAGAAAATATCTCAAAGATACTAAATTTTTAATTTGAGCATATATAAAAAAATAGATTAAAGCACCATCAAATAAAGCCAAGACTCAAGTCGGGTTTGAGCAGAACCGAGTCATGAACCAAACCAGTTGCTAAAAAAAGAAATAAGCCAAAAATCAGAAACAGGTGTGAATCAAAGCGGGAGTTCATTTATGTCAAAAACCAGGCTTTCGAACCGAACCTTAAGGCAGGCATTTGGTTCGAGCCGTAACCCAAACCTTCTGCTTGAGCTTGAAGGTCTGCTTTAAACTCAATTGTTTGGTATTCTTCAAATACCAAACCAGGAAGTCATTCTTAATTCATTTTTTCTCACTAACATAAAGAACTTGCCATATTGAGCTTTAACAGTTGAACTGAATACATTATTTCCGCATCCAAATTCAAAACAGATCCACAAATAAAAACAATCTAATCTAAGCGTATATTAAAAAGCTAATAAATATTATATTTCGTAGCAATTAAAAGAATACTTATATTCCAAATTATTGACTAGCTTTTCGCATTTACTTAATGAGTACGTTAAGTTGTTAGGTAAGTTAACTGGTATTTAAAAGCATAAGTTAAGATCGCACACGTGCCAAAGATCTGACAAAAAAAGCGACAGATTGCAGCTGGCCGAATATTTATGTTCAATTTAAGAGCGGCTCCTAAACAATTCTCCCATCCAGCTCACAGCTGGGCCTGCTGCATGAGCAGCTGCGGCTGCTGCCTGCATGACTCAGTCGAACTCACCTGGCCCTGCGTTGCACAGCCTGGCCTTGGCTAGGCGGCAGCTGTTGCAGAGCGCCTGCCAAATGATCTGCACTTGTGCAGCACAGCACGGAAGTATGTGTGTGTGACAACGTGTGCGAGCGAGAGAGCGTGACCAGCGGCTGAACCAGCTGCCGTTTTGCCTTTTTGGCCTGAATCGTCTGCCCGACGCTGCTTTTTCGTTTTTTCTTTTTTGCCACCGTCTGCGCGTCTGTCATTGGCACGACGACACCTGTATAAACATTTTAACAGCTTGCCGGGCTCAGCGAGAGCTCTGCTCTGTATACCCTTTGCAAGGGTCAGGTAACAATTGCATAAGGTCTGTACCGAGTGTTGGTTTTGCTAGAATTTCATATATGTTTTATGGGACAAGGCATTTGTGAATTAAATATGCTCATTATATTTCCATACAATCAAATGCTAACTCCCAAAAATCCATAAAATGTTTTTGATATTGGCCAGCAAGTTCGTAAGAAAGTAGAGTTTAATGAAAAATAAAACGCACTTCCTTCCCTCTGTATAAAAAATAAAAAATTTTTTAATCTTGCTTGTATAAAAAGTTATCCGTCTAAAAATATTAGTATGCCCAAAACAATTATAAACAAAAATCAGAAAAAAAAACAAAAGAAAATGATAAAATATATAATCATTAGTTCAAAAAAAAAAAAAAAAAAATAAATATATATATATATATATATATATATATATATATATATATAAATTCTGTTATGATGCAGAACTTGCTGATTTTACTAAATTTATGTTTTCTTAAAACTGATTTTCAAACAGTTATATAAATACATTAAATATAAATGATCTATATAAAGATTTATATTGATATATATGATTTATATAAATAAACATACAAATGTGCTTGAAATTGAATAAAGAAATAATATTTCAAAAATGAAATATGCAATTACATTAAGAATATAGCTTTATATTCCTTTATACCCTTGCAGAGGGTATTGTAACTTTGTCTCGAACTTTGTAAGGCATAGACGAAGACATCTCCGATATTTCCGTCTGTCTGCTTCTATGCGAACTAGTCTCTCAACTTGAAAACTATCTTCATGTAACTCTGCATACGTCTCTCTTACTGTTGAATGCAGTATATATGTAGGAATCGGCTGGATCGGGCCACTATATCATATAGCTGCCATAGGAAAGATCTGTCGAAAATGAGGTTCTTATATGAAAAATATTTTGTTTTTCAAGATATCTTGACCATAATCGGCATTAACTAATTTCCTTGTTCTTCTAAGATATGGGCAAAGCGTAAATAGAAAAGAAAAGTAAATCGTTATGATTTATTTGTATCAAGCAATTAATTAACCTTAAGCACATATTAAATAATAAATGTAAAGGCAACATGAGTCGATTGCCCTGTAGGAGTATTCACTGTGCGGCTTACCAGAAAGCCATTTGCCATTTGTTCAGCTTGCAGTTCTGCAAACAATATACAACAGATGGCGCTGAGACAGTGAAACAAAAGTATGCTAATAAATTAAGTCAATAGCCGGCAACGAAATGATCACAATTAGCCTTGGCAGAAGGAGCGGGCCAATTAGCGGGTTCGATTGAGTTTGTTGTCCCAATAGGTCCACATCAAAGTGGGGTTAAATCAGCGCTGCGAGCCTTGGTTAAACAACAGACAGACGGCGACTGGCAATTTTCATATTGTATTACTCTGGTGATGGGCAGTTCGTTAGATTGTTGGACTGTTAAATTGGCGTATTGACGGCCTGATTAGCCGACAGGCACATTCAGTGAATGCACTGAAAATTGACAGCGCCGTGAAAAGGGCAAAGTGATTAAGGTAATAGGCCAGCCAGGTGAAATGCACATGACAAGCGCAGCTGCTGTTGCTGCCGCTGCTTAGCGAAGGGCGCCACATGTGGCATGTGGCGCCACACCAACAAACAACAACGAACAAAAAAATCCCTGCCCAGCCATCCATCAAGCGCTCAATCAATCATTAGCATTGTAAACCTTGCCCAGCAACCCACAAGCTAAAAGAAAATAATGTTGGCGGCGGCATTTTCACACCTTGGCAATTAAGCGACACGCCCAGGAGCGACGCCCATGTGGCTGCCTAGGCGACATTGACTAATGAGACGCCATTTTGTTTGCCGGCTAAACAGCTGAGACAACACAACAAATGGCAATGGCGACCGGAAATAAGTCAATTTACTTATTAGCACAGCGAGCAACGGCAACGGCAACAGCAGCGGCAAAGCCAACAGCTACCCAGTTTTCAGTTCCTCAAAGCACAAAGTTAAACAAAGAGTCGAAAGTGTCACGCACAGCAGAACAACTAACACACCCATACGCCCACACACACACTCGCACGACTAGTGTATATTTTTGTGTGTGCATCCGCTTAATCGAAAAAGTCAAAAACAAATTTTTCGGGTTTTTACTTTTTTTTTGGCATGCCCATCCAGAGCCCGAGCCCGCTTCTAGCCACTTGCCGATTGGCCTCTGGTATTTTATTTTTTTTTATTTTATTCTTATATTTTTGTGGCTGCAGAATTGTAGTCGCTACTGCATGTGGCAGCTTATTAAAAAGACGCAGAAACCAACAACAGCAGCAGCACCAGCCGCAGCAAAGAAGCCTGCAAAATGCTTTTGAGCCGCACACACACAAAAATTTCATGGGTCTAGTTAAAATTATTTGGTTATGTGTAGAAGAACAATGCAGAGCATAGTGGCAAGGACAATGGTCAGCCCACTTACCATATATGATGCGGATGACTATGCGCTGTATCATTTAAATGGCAAGAAATCAGCTTTCAATTGTTTTAACAAGTGCTAAAAGCTTAGAAGACAGACTGAGTGCTATTATTAATATTTAGTAAGAATAGGATGACAGCTATTATGTTATATAATATTATGTTATATTATGTATTATATTATATTATGTTGTGGCGCGTCAAGCAAGCAAGCTCAATCTAGAGTTTTCTAAATGCACATTTATATAAATCAGAGCTCTTAACTTGTATTCCTCAAATAGTTTCATAAAATGGATTGTATATATTGTCTGTTATATGTTTATATCTAGTTATACACTGGCTAACTGGAGTAAGCAAATGAAAAAGAAGATGTTGCAGCTGTGGAATGCGTCATGTTGTCCATTTGCTGTCATTCTTTCAACAGATGCAAAGAGCGCTTTACTAAGTGCACATTTCATTCATCTTCTTCATA